TAATAAATTACATTTTATGAGTAACTAGACCAACGCTGACTACAATAAGCTCGGGTTGTATCCGCTGCACACTCCGGTACAGCAGGTGGCGGTGTGCAGTCCAAAGGCGAGTTCTCGCGAGAAATCAAAACATAAACGAGAAAGAAGAATAAGAATAAAGGAAGAAGACAGTAGCTGCTTTATCTCCAACAAGGTTCGTTTATCCACCAACAGCTCGTCCTTAGAGGAACCAGGACAGTAGCGCGCATGTTGTAAACATTGTATTTGTGTTTTTATAATGTTTGTGTTTCCACTGGAGGGGCTCGCGTGCACTTATCTTCACAGGAAGTGCCAGTTAGCATCTGTGGCTAACAGCTAGCAGCTAACAGCTGTGTGTCAATCTGAGTGTTAGCAGAAGCACAGTGTACAGGTATTTGAGAGGACAGCGTCTGTAGGTTCATCAGAGTAGAGTGTCGTTTGTATTTGTTATGTTAAATACAATCCTACAATATGTCCCGTTAATTGAAGGTATGGAGAACTGTCCATGAGGAGTGGGCTGCCCTTTATTTATGCTAAATGACTCCCTTATGAATGGAAGTGAACATAATAATTATAATTATTGCTGAAACTATTAGGCAGTTAACTGATTAATAGATTAATTACAGTAGAAAATGATTTGACACTTATATTCTTCTATATTGAATCTTTGTTTGGTTTTTACAAAACAAACAATATTGTGATGCTACTTTGGGTTCTGGGATATTGAGCTGGGGATTTATTTACTATTTTGACATTTTACAGACTAAAGCATTAATCTCAAACAGCACTGGGTGGCTGCAGCTCAAACAGCCTGCAAAAAGACACGAGAATCTTAGAATCTGTATGTACACGATATAAACAATCATATTGTATCATGTTTTTGACATTTAATGCGTAATGTGATTCACGATTAGTGGGGATGAAATTTTCATTTAAAAAAAAAACCAATGATGGTTTACACAAGATTTAAAGGCCAGAGCGTCTCTGCAGCACTACATTACTTCATTATAATGCTGTGTTCTTACACATTTTACCTTTATCATAATTCATTCAATCATTGCAGCTTCTGTGATTTGGATATTGCATGTGGCCATATTGTGATTCTGATAATACTTCGATTAATTGAGCAGCCCTAAATGTGACGCCACCACTGACTGATAGCTAACAACACTAACTGTCAGCAGATACTAACCCGTGCTGTGGACTATCATCACTCTCCAACAGAAAATGGACACGCGGTTCACTCGAGGGAAATCCAACATCTTGGAGCGACCCCTGACCCGACCCAAGACGGAAGTCAGCGTGAGCGCTTTTGCCCTCCTGTTCTCAGAGATGGTCCAGTACTGTCAGAGCCGCGTGTACTCCGTGTCTGAGCTGCAGACACGCCTGGCAGACATGGGCCAGAGTGTGGGAGCCAGCATGCTGGACGTGCTGGTGCTGAGAGAGAAGAACGGGAAGAGGGAGACCAAAGTGCTGAACATGCTGCTCTTCATCAAGGTAAGATACCGCTGATGGAGTTCAGTGTTGAGTAACTTTTAACTTTTTTAACTTTACTTTTTCCTTTCCTCAGGTTAACGTCTGGAAGTCTCTGTTTGGGAAGGAGGCTGACAAGCTGGAGCAGGCCAACGACGATGACAAGACTTATTACATCATAGAAAAGGAGCCACTCATCAATGCGTACATCTCCGTGCCCAAGGAGAACAGCAGCTTAAACTGCGCCGCCTTCACCGCGGGCATCGTGGAGGCCATCCTCACACACAGCGGCTTCCCTGCCAAGGTCACTGCCCACTGGCACAAAGGCACCACACTCATGATCAAGTTTAACGAGTCAGTCATAGCCAGGGACAAGGCTTTGGATGGCAGATAAAGAAGACTGGTGAGAGTGGGAGGTTATGTTATTCAGTACAGGTTGAAGATAAATCATCCAGGTCCGGGCTGTAGTGTTTGTTCCTGACTGAATTTCCTTGTGGGGTGACTTTATGGATGGATGGATGGATGACTGCACCACACTGAGCCACGCCTAGAGAGGAACACATGCAGCTAGTTGGTTTAATCTTTAATGTTTTTGTGGATCATCTCACTCCTGTTGCACCTCATCAAGTGACACAAAATTGTTCACTTTTGATTTGCAGTTTCACATTTTTACATTAAAGATCATTCTCTAAAGATTAACATATTGAATAAAACTTTCACCCCATTATTTTGTTGTTTTCATCAGTAATTATCCGATTTTTTAAGCCCAACAGGTCAACATATTTAATTAAATAACTGTAAAGATAATGTCACTGTGGGCGCTTGTGATGTTCTCTTTTTAGACTAAACAATTAATTAAAAAAAGTAATTGTGAGGTGCAGCATTCAACCTTTAGGGGGGCAGTGAAGAGGCAGAAACAGGCAATGGGTCATTGGACTCGACGTGCGCTGTAACCATTCAGTTACCAAGGTGATCTGGTTTTTATAATGTTAATAAAAGTGTCACAGTATCTCAATGCAAAATACTTTATTTTACAGAGAAAGGTCCAGACTCATGAGATTATTTCTCAAAGTTTCATTCCAGTTCAACTCCAGCTGCATGTTTCATCTCTGTAAAATAGATTCAGGGCCATAGTTACCACTGAAGACACTGAGGTCAGGTCTTGTCTGTGTATTTTGTCAGAGAATTTGAGGGTTCATCAAATTTAGACTAGATATACATTATATAGGCTGAATCCAGTATTTTTTTTTTTTAGACTAAATGTATTGAAATTTGAATTCATTTTGTAGTGGATGTAGTGGCATCTCACGGTGTCGTTGAAGATTGCAACTTCCTCCCTTCACCATCCCATTCGGAGTGCGAAATAGAAACTACGGTTGCCTTCAAACATGAGCCAATGTATGGTTTGTTTGTTCTGGGCTACTGAGAAGTGGCAGTTCAACGTGGCGCCCTCCATGGAAGGCAATGTGTTTGAAAAAAAAGGTTTTAATCTAAGGTAACAAAACATCACACATTTGCAGGTGATCACACACTAATAAAACTATGATTATTCCAATTCTGCCAACAGATCCTACTAAATGTTACACACTGCACCTCAACAGTGAGGGGGTGGGGTGGACCTTAGACATAAGCTCAGTGTTTCTCAAATTCTAGATGCGGCCCTGCCTTTATTCCTCACCCAGTAATATGCTAGTAATGTGAACCAGCAGCTACAAGTCCTCAGCAAGAACAATTAAATCAAATGTATCTTCTGAAGGGCCCACGAGTAAGACACTGCATCCCTACCATCTGCATGGAAGCTGGGCAGACTGTGGTGGGAGGGTGGAGGGGGTGGACGGGGAGAAAGAGAGAGAGAAGAGAGACGAGAAGAAAACAGAAGAGATAGGATGAGAGAACGAAAGACAAGTATTGTACATCAATCTAGCAGACCGCATTTTGCCGAGAGGCTCCAGCCCAGATCCGATAAAACCTTGGCAGCGGGCTGCTGGGTCCTTGTTGCTGTTTTTACAAGACTATCCGGGTATAGTTCCAGTGCGCTCCAGGAACCTTCTGAAACGTATTGGTTAGTCTCCACAGGTTCCTTTACATGCGAGTGTTCACGTCCTCTCCCACCACTTAATGTTGCCAGAGCGCCAGTCAATGTTTGGGATTATGGCTTAATATATAAAAAAAGAGTGCACAGAGAAAAAACCCAAATCAAAACAGTGGATGCTCCGCTGAATCAAAAAAATAAGAAAAGATGGGCAGAAGGGAAAGAAATAAAAACAAAAACATATAATTAACCCTGTAACACAGATAGTCGAAAAAATGAAACGAATTACATTTTAATTTCAGTTTTGTTGTCTGTAGGAGGCTATTTCGGGGAAATGGAGTTGTTTTTTCACGCCCCCAACTTTGCGCTCTCTAACTAATCATTTTTAGGTTTAAGGTTGGTCTATTTCACGGGACTCAATAATATAAAGTGCAACAGTTTGGGCCCCTATAAATTTCTCCTCGGGAGCCAGAATTACCTCGCATGCATTTCCAGCGGTCATCGGGGCTACGTGGGAACACTTAACGGAAGCGATACCAGGAACTTTAAAGGAATACTTTCATTCTGCAGGGATATATTTTTGAACTGGAATTCTAGTCCGACAGAACCGGATTAAGGTACTATTCCTGTCACATCCTGTTAATGGATGCCTTGGAATTGTCCCACCTCTATTGTTTAAAGCTTTACTTCATTGTAGCCAAACCTATACAGTACATTAAACCACACACATACAGAAATTGTGGAATTTAAGCCCTGGTAAGACCCAGTGTTGCAAGGAATTACAAACAATTTGGTGTCAACCACGATTAACATATCCATTGTGCCTATGTGTTGTTCCGAACAAAGTGCGATGGATCCAAAAAGTTGTGTATATAAGGCCCGCCCTGCAGGTCAAGAAGTCAACCACAACCTCCAATTTTTTTGATCGAGCAAAATCCGCTTCCATTTACTGGACTGGATTGCCATTCTGAGTTCAAGGTGTTAAGTGAAAAATTGCTTATTGAAAAAAAAAGAAAAAAATTAAATTTCTTTTTTGGTGTTTTCTATTTACAATGTCTAAGGAACATGAGAACATATGTGAGTTTTTTGTTGGAAAATATGCCTTACATGTTATTTTTAGACTTGTTTTATAATTGTTGTAAGTATTTGAAGCAACGTTGTCAGAGTGGTAGTCAAAAACAGCCCCTGGTTGTTTTGGAGAGAGAATACGGTTCTTTGAGAGGAACTTAAAATTTTAAAATGTTTACAATATAACTTTAAATACACATGAATTGTACACATTCTAGCCTTAGGGCCCTTATATTGGATAACTATGTATTAGAAACTAAAGTGCAAAGATATATTGCTGTATCTTAAAATTTTCATTACTTATAATGAATTTTTCTTAACTCGCCTTCAACACTCTCAGTATTTTCTCCTGTATCACAGAATGCAAAGACTTATCTAACAAAGAATCTGTTTGGGCATGTCTGCCCTTTGTCTTATTCTCTATGATAAAGAAAAATGCTCCAATCAATCTCTGAATAGTCAAACAGTTGTGGGATGCCCTCGGTGGCGATTGTTCTGGGAACAGGTGTTAATGTTCAAGGAATGTAAAAGGTGGTTGTAAGCTGGAGGCTACATGCATTCCTATTTAGAGATAAATCACAAGTCTACAATAGGTCAACCCATACAGTAATGTGTGACCAGTGAAAATGGTGAATAGGCTACTCAGGTGCAATGGTGTTAAACCTTTCATAATGAAATCTCCCCCACCACCCCATCTTTCCTGACTGGGTCATCTATAATCTAATAAGCATTTTGTGCTGATTTGTGTATACAGTGTACATCTGTTTCAATTTTATTTTTCATTTTCAGGAAATGCCACCAGCAAAGGGAGAGATCCTCCACTGTCGCAGGATGTAATTGCCATTCGTCCAAACGGAGGACACAAGCTTGCATCCTCTTCTTCTATTCTGGTAATATATCTAATTTATTGCTATTAGCCTTGTTTGTTGATATATTGACTTGGTACTGGTCTTCATGTGTATTTTGAAGGGAATGTATATTGAATTGATATATTATTATTTTTTCTAATCAAGGGCCAACAACACCCAAAAACTCCAAAGGAGAGTGACACCATCTTTCAGGCAACAGGAGGCCCAGACGCAGCAGGGAAGCCCTTGAATGCTGGAAAGAGATCACCTTGGGGTGATGAAGATCCAAATCCGACTCCTCCAAAAAAATCCTGTGCACCCACCCCCTCTGGATGTAGCGCAGGGACTTCACTGGACATTTTCCACTGAAGAACGAAGAAACGGACGCTCAAGACATTGCAGTAAAGTAACCCAACAGCAAAGTGTGAGGTGCTGTGAGACGCTGGTTGGAGGTATATGCCTCTGTTTTTCAGAACGGACAAGAACTGTATATAATGTAGAATAAATGTCCAAAGTTCTTGTTCATTAAATAGACATGACTCTTCATAACCAACCATGACTGATGATTATTATTCATGTTATTATACTCGTTTTGGGGGAAAAGAAAAACCCATGCAAACCTGCGATTGAATCCTTGGAGTTTCTGTACTGTTGTTCAGACAATGAGTTTGGAAATAGTTATTTAATACAGGAGTTTGCTTTCTTCTTTTTACCCCCATTTAAGAACCAGTTATAAAACCCCAAGAACGTAATGACAAACTATAATTCTCTCGTTTCCGTTAAAAACCTTACTAAAACATACACCAATTTTTGAAACACTCCATTTTCACAGTCATTTGTTGCTATTGAACAAAACAATGTAGTACATATTATTAATTTAATGTATGATGACTAATTGAACTTGACATTATTTACAATATACAGTTTCTTGTCCTCTGAAAAAACAGGGGAGGCATATATCCAAACCCAGTCTCACAGGCATTTCACACTTGCTTTGGGGTACTTACTGCAATGTCTGCAGCACGTCCTCTCTTCGTCTTCCAGTTGGAGGGGGAAAATGTCCAGTGACAGTTCCCTGCGCAACATTCCAGTAGGGGGGGTGCACAGGATTTTTGGAGGAGGGGACCGTTTGGATCCCCATCACCCAAAGGATGATCCTCTTTCCAGCATTCAAAGGGGCTCCCTGCTGCGTCTGCGGCTTCCTGTTGCCTGGGGAAAGGATGGTCGTCCTCTCTTTGAGTTTTTGGGTGTTGTTGTCCACCTGATTAGAAAAAATAATAAATATATTCAATTCATATTACATCTCAAATACACATTGAAGACCAGTACCAGTCAAATATATCCAACAACAAGGTAAATAGCATTAAATAGATAATTACCAGAATGAGGAGAGCGATGCAAGCTGTGTTTCCTCCCGTTGCTTGCGGACCGATTGGCAATTTACCATCCTGCACAGTGGGGAGGATTCTCTCCTTGCTGGGTGGATTCTTGAAATGAAAAAATAAAATTGAACAAACGTTGACACCTGCTATACACAAATGCAATCAAATGCTCATAGATTATAGCATGGACCAGCAGAAAGGATGGTGTTGGTGGGGAGATTCATTATGAAGTGGTTTACACATTGCACTGAACGTAACGCCGTATCACACATTCACTGGTCACAATTACTGTATGGTTGACCTATTGTAGACTGGGATTTATCATTTCCTTAATAGAATGCATGTTAGCCCTCCAGGCTTACAACCACACTACATTCGCCTGAATCATTAACAC